AACAACAACAACAACAACAACAACAACAACAACAACAACAACAACAACAACAACAACAACAACAACAACAACAACAACAACAACAAGAACAACAAGAACAGCAACAACAACAAGAACAAGAACAAGAACACGAACAAGAACACGAACAAGAACAAGAACACGAACAAGAACAAGAACACGAACACCAACAAGAACACCAACACCAACACGAACGCCAACACGAACACGAACACGAACACCAACACCAACACGAACACAAACACGAACACGTACACCAACACGAACACCAACACGAACACCAACACCAACACCAACACGAACACGAACACCAACACGAACACGAACACGAACACCAACACCAACATGAACACGAACACAAACACGAACACCAACTCGAACACGAACACGAACACCAACACGAACACGAACACCAACACGAACACGAACACGATCACGAACACCAACACGAACACGAACAACAACACGAACACGAACACCAACACCAACACGAACACGAACTCGAACACGAACACGAACTCCAACACCAACACCAACACGAACACGAACACCAACACGAACACGAACACGAACACGAGCGCGAACACCAACACGAACACCAACACGAACACCAACACGAACACCAACACCAACACGAACACCAACACGAACACCAACACGAACACCAACACGAACACCAACACCAACACGAACACCAACACGAACACCAACACCAACACGAACACGAACACGAACACGAACACCAACACCAACACCAACACCAACACGAACACCAACACCAACACGAACACGAACACGAACACGAACACCAACACCAACACCAACACCAACACGAACACCAACACGAACACCAACACGAACACCAACACGAACACGAACACCAACACGAACACGAACACGAACACCAACACGAACACCAACACCAACACCAACACGAACACCAACACGAACACCAACACGAACACGAACACCAACACGAACACCAACACGAACACCAACACGAACACCAACACGAACACCAACACGAACAACAACAAGAACAACAACAAGAAGAACAACAACAAGAACAACAACAAGAACAACAACAAGAACAAGAACATGAACAAGAACAACAACAAGAACAAGAACAAGAACAAGAACAACAAGAACAAGAACAAGAACAATAACAACAATAACAACAATAACAACAATAACAACAATAACAACAATAACAACAATAATAACAATAACAACAATAACAACAATAACAACAATAACAACAATAACAACAATAACAACAATAACAACAAAAACAACAATAACAACAATAACAACAATAACAACAATAACAACAATAATAACAATAATAACAATAATAACAATAATAACAATAATAATAATAAGAAGAAGAAGAAGAAGAAGACAAAGAATAATAATAATAATAATAATAATAATAATATCTCTACTCCTCATTCTAACAACGAGAGTTAGCCCAGAAGTCGGAGACTTGTGCGGGAGAGGAGGCGGCATATTATTATTACGCAGGCCGCATTTTCGCCCAGGAACGACTTCCACCATTCAGTGCAGGAATGAGGGAAACCTGGAAAACCTTATTAATTAGGGGGGTGGTCAAATGCCAACCGGTGTCAATCTCTCATTGACCCAAGCCAACATTCTTCCACCCTACCATACCTGCACAGAGGGTGCCAATCCTCCGTACAAGCATAGCTAATCTACGGTCTACCGGCCGCGGGATTCGAAACCCGGGCAGATCGACACATCGATTTAAGTACTGACGCCTTAAACCGTGCGGCTATCGACCCATTGTTGAATATTATTATTATTTTAGCACTAGTGTGTAAAGTATGTAGGTACATACATACCTACTTCGCGCACCAGCACGAAAAAGTTATATTTATATTAGTATACCATCTACGAAAAAATAGTAAGAGTAAACGATGTTTATTTTCGTAATCGCTTCACGGCTTACAATATTTCGGAATTGGGAACAAACGACGGAGTCACAATTTCGTATTCGTTTAACAAAAAACACTGGAGATCAAACACAACGTCGTCCCTTCTTTATTGGGAACTTCCGATTATAGTAAAGATATCAAGTGCCTTATATATATTCCGGCACCGTACATAATACTCAGCAAAATCAACAAGGGTGCAAAGTTATACGTGGAACATATTGTATATAAATTTCAAGTAGTATGTAAAAAATATGTCTGTTGTAGATGTAGATAAAGTTTTAAATCAATCATACATTTTATGAAGGATATTATAACATTCTTAAAAAAGTCCTTACTTTAAAAATATTCTTACTTTGAAAAATGTTTTTACTTAAATTGCATTTTTAATTCGTTTATATTGTTGCATAGGTTAAATAATTTTCAAAAATGCATATCTTTACAATGGAGCATTTGCCATTGTTGCAAGTATTGCCATAAAATGAAATTGCATGCAAGAAAACTTGAAACTTATTTTTTATAATTAATAAAATCATTATTTAACTGACATTTTAAAAAAATTTAGAAATTAAAACGAATCTTACAGACTTTCATTAAGCATTTGTTCAGATTCACAATAATATACTACTTTTGACGTTAGAAAGGCATTAATTAAACTTTTGACTTAAGTAACACGATTTATGATCAGATATGAAATTTTCAGGTCGATTTTGTTTTCTCCTATATCGGGAGATCAACAAAATTCCAATTTGGATCCCGTATTATTTATATTTTCTATTAGTGACCTTCTCGAGATCATTACTTGTGAATGTTTCATTTGCTCATAATTTTAAACTCTATTCGAAATCTTCCATAAATTAGATTCATTTCATGCAGCAATCGAATATCTTACGGTGTGAAATAACTAATTTAAAACTCAATACATGTAAACGTAACGAAATGACTTATTCCCGCAAAATTAGTTTTATCGTTTATGACTAGAGTTAGTTGAAGTATTTGTTTTGTGCTCTCATTAGCTCTAAAAGCGAATACGACTCACTTATGTGGTATCCGATTTATTACGTTCACTGATAAAACTTAAAGATTTTTAAATTTTTTATATTTTCAGGTAGATCTTATCCATTTTAGGTTATTTTCAAGGTCGATTAATTTTAAGTTACTAGTCGTAGTATAACGTAATATACGTAATATAATGCTGATTCGGTATTTATTTAATCTCTTGAATGGTAACGTAATGGTAAACTTTAAGGTTGCTAATTCAAACAAATTCAAGAAAATATATATTTTTTAAATCTTATTAAATGAAGTCAAACAATATTTTTCGTCACCAGACATCTAGGTATGCAAAAGATATTCAACCTCCAGACAAGATTGCTAACTGCTGATACTGCGGGGAACAACAACTCTATGAGCTACACCTAGTCCCAAAAAGACCCGAACCCCCTCCGATAACTTTTCAGCATGAAATCCTATCAAAAAATGTTTAAGAAGAAAGTTGTAGGATTTGAGAAAAATAATTTTGCAGTGACCTTATCTTTGACCTTGACTCCAATTTTTAAGGTAAAATCAATGTCAACTTAAAAATTTCAAATGAAAACCTCTATTTTCTAAATCGATAGAGTGTAAAATTTTACGTCTTAATATGGAATCAATCAGTTTTTTATTGAATATCCTTGAAGGTCATTTCAAGGTCGAATTTGTTTTTTCTTAATAACTCGACGGGATTTTAATTGTAGATAAAATTGCTGCAAGGAATATATAGTACTTTCAATGATAAATTTATCGGTGACCTTTTATTTGCCCTTGGTTAGTTAAATCAAAGTCAAATTGAAAATTTTGTAACCTATATTTTTAATGTCAACATCAATAAAGCACCAAATTTAACATCCAAGTTCAATAAAAGTTCGTTTAAAGATAATAATAATAATGCTGATAAAGAGAAATAACAAGAAGTTAAAAAAATAAGAAAAACAACAATAAACACTAATAGAAAGTTGAAAAAAGAGGAAAAAAGTTAAAGCCGATCATAAGGGCATAAGGATAGTGCTTACAATATTTATCTCTATAGTTCGATCCCATCGAGTTATTGAGAAAAACAAGTTCGACTTTGAATTGACCTTTAAGGATATAAAAGAAATAATTTTTCATTCTATATTCGGACGTAAAATTTTACGCCCTATTTATCGATTTATAAAATAAAAAATAGGGTTTTCTGTCTGAAATTTTTAACTTGACCTTGATTTGACCTAAAGATTTGGAGTCAAGGTCAAAGACAAGGTCACCGTTAAATTGGTTTATTGAACTCCTATAACTTTTTTCTCAAACTTTTTTCGATAGGATTTCATCTTGGAGATATCGGGGAGTTTTAGAGCTTTTTAATTTTTGCGATTTGTATTTAGCTGTAACACACAGTTCCCATTTGTTGTTTTATTTAATTAGTTTTATTTTGTGTTTATGTTACGTAACAGACTGTTCCATTTTGTTTGTTTTATTTTATTAGTAGTATATTTATTTCAGATACATGCATCGCAAAGTAACTATAATTTTTTCAATATTTATTCTTATTCATGTAATTGGTTTTTTCCTGGAATAATAAATGATATTGTTTTTACTTTACATCAACAGAACATTTTATCGTTCGGTATTTAACCATTAAACAGGATAAGAAGACGATAATAATTTAAGACAGCATGAAACAGCCTATTCTTTCTTTAACACCTCTATATCGACAAAATCGGAGAATATAAAAGAAAGCAACTCCAGTTATTGGTAGAAGGGAATCTGCTCACGTACAAATATGTTTCTTTTATGAACTTGTGGAAGGGTACGGCTATGATTATTTCCATTTTTGACATATTAATCTTTCTTCCTGTAGCTATTCAATTGTAAAAATTTAATCACAGAGTGTACGTGGGCACGCCCGAGGATGTTATTTAATTTTAGATGTTACGGGGATAAAGAGGATCTCCAATATTCGAAGTACCAATAAAAGGTAAAATATGACAAAATAAAATTCTATTTCAGCTGCGCACAACAAACAAAATTCATTTTTCACTGGGATTAGGTATATATTAAAAACTGGATGGCGGTGACACATTGGGCTTGAGAAAAACTTCATCAATTTCTCTTTAATCTTTTTCATAAATCACTATCCATGCAATGCGATCGTACTTCTCGACACCATATAGAATTATTTTGATACCTGCGCATATCATATTTTTGTTGCTAAATAGCCAAAACAACGTAAGAAAGTGATGAAAATCGAGGTAATTTGGAAGCGTCAAACTGGCAGGCAAGAAATTGTCAAATTCTACTATAAATGTAGATGTGAGTACTTTAAACGATTACATCGATAAAAAAATTGATATTATAACGATTCTATATGATAGTTAAGGGATCCAAGTATGTGTAAAAAAATCAGCGCCAATTAAAATGCCTAACTTTAACCCCAGCACTGACGCAAAAAAATAACGACATTTCGCGCTGAAATTTAGTAACAAATTGTCTCATACCAAAACTATGAGACCGATTTTGATCGGGTTTTGGAATTTCGTTTTGTAATTGTTTAAAGTAGTCACATCTACATTTATAGTAGACTTGGACAATTTCTTGCCTGTCAGTTTGACGCTTCCAAATTACCTCGATTTTCATCACTTTCTTAGGTAGTTTTGACTCTTTAGCAACAAAAATATGATATGCGCAGGTATCAAAATAATTCTATCTTGTAGCAAATTTCGTAACAAACAGGTTTCATCAGTAATAGTTTTTTCTGTAAACTGCATATTTAAGAAGTTATATTGGAAAATGTTAGAAAAAACACGTAATTTCTGAGTATTTTTGCAGTTATTAATTTTTTCTGCAAATAGCACAACTTTTTTTTCTTGGCGCAACGTTATATTTTCATTGTATATATTATTTTTGACAGATTTTTACTAATATCCAAATTACGTCAAGCAACAGCCATGTCAATGTGTAATTGTCCTGGACTATAACTGAAATTTACATATAATTATTCATTAATTCATCTTGAGACATGAGAGAGTAGACACGCGTTTCGTGAGCTCCCGAAAAAAGTATTTAAATTGCGGTAATTTTTCGCAAATTTGCCCTCAAACTCGTGGCCAACCACCTAGTGGATTACATTGCATATGTACATAATACAATTGGTGTCCTGCAGTTTGGATTGATGACATTTGATGTGTGCGAGTGTCAGTGCCAACTTATAGTCCTATCATACCAATTAAACCGTGCCAATGTTGACCCGAAATAAACAAAGTGGACCCAGCACAATGAGTGGTACCGATGACATTGAAGAAGTTATTAACAAGGTTTGTTCCAAATTTTATACTCAAATTGAAGATAAATTATTTGCAAAGTTGGAATCTATTGAGGGAAAGATAAGTCACATTCAAAACTCGTTAA